TTATTTGTGAAATTGACTAGCAATTTCTGAGTGAAGATTGTTTCCAAAACACTTATAATGAAGGTTTCACAAACTCTGATGATAAAAAGCAAAAAAATAAATAATAATAATACATTAAAGATGATATATTCAGGAGTAATGAACCAGTACACATAAATTTAGTTTGTTCTAAATTTAGTTATTTGTCATTTTTATTTTACTTTACTAAATGAAAATGAGACATTTTGCCCTGGCAAGTAGCTGAAATGAAAAAGTAAAAAAAAACAATTATTTCATGTGTTGTTATTAAATTAATTATATTTTATATTCAGTTAAATTATATTTTATGTACAACTTTTTAAAGGATTTAATTAACTATAATAACCCTGATTCACACAGGACATATTCAAGCCAGAGCACAACATCATACAATCTCAAAATTCACGCTGCGAGATGCTGAAGAAACCGATAAAACATCCCTTCAATAACAAAAGTGACAGATGATCAATCATAAACATCTACACATAAGTGAGAGCTACAGACGATGATGAACATCTCTCACAGCATGTGTTTTACAGACTTCAGCTCTTCAGTCACTGTCTCTGAAGCTCAAACACGAAATATATTCAAACTAAAACGAGCAGAAAACATCTAGATGAAGCTCATTCCTAGTTCAATTGCCACGTAAGTGGTTTATCATTACATCATAAAACCATAAAACAGGTGTTTACCTTTGCACTGGTTTGTGTTCTTGTCCATGATGGCCTTAGTAGACACAATTTTCCCATAGCTGTGAGGACAGAAATGATAAACATAACCAGACATTTAAAAAAACATTGTGAGTATTTTTATACAGTTTACACATGTGCATATACAGTTTATACTTGAGATTTTGTTTGTATATTATTTTCGTTGCGGTGGCAGTTCTCATTCGTGTTATTTTAGTATATCTGTTATATTATAGTTTTTGTTAACATTTCATTTTTAGCTACATTTTCTGTTTATTACTTAAATTTTAGTTTTAGCCATTTTTTATTAAATCAATTTTATCATTAATATAGTATATATATATTTTTTTTAATATGCCTATATAGGTTTATTAATTTATATATTTATTCATTTTAATTTATTTAGTTTGACAGTAGTTATTTCAGTATTAACTATAAATGAAAATGAGAAACATTGTCATGGCAACTAGATGGATTAAACTTTAAAAAAAAAATTATGGTTTTAATTTTATTTAATTGGGTTATATTTAACCCAGCATTTGTGTCAGTGTAATGACAAAAGCACATAAAATAAAAAAAAATTAAAATATTTAAATGAAAGTATAAAAGGAAAAGCAGTGAATATCACAATGTTCTGTCATGATAACACATAAAGCATACCCATCAACATCATTCTATAGGAAAAATATTTCCAAATGATTGGGTTTGTTGTGTGTGAACATGCCTTTACGCTCCAAACACACAGCCTGTCCTCATGGGGTGTGTGTGTGCCATAAGCACATCTCATTACTGGCATACTGTTTGTGTCCGTTGGGAAACCGTGTGTGTGTGTGTGTGTGTGTTGTTCTGTGTGTTTGTTGTTCTGTGGGGACAGTGAGGCAGGCGTATCTGAGTATCATCACTCTTGGTCTCATTAAAAGTCGAAAAGCTAACTTTACCTACACAAACATAACATACAGAACTTCCTGTTTCTATGATCTAAAAATAGCGAAGCATAACATCAGAGCCTATGAAACCGCTGAACCATAATAAAACTGCCCAGCAGACTGTGTTAGTGAAGCGCTCAG